CATTTAAAAATTTCAAAAAAGGTTGCGAATTGCAAAATCAAAAACGCTTTGTACAGAAGTGAGTGTTCTCTGTTTGATTTTGACCCACACTGCCGTAAAGGCAGAAGCAGAAGCACACATAAAAAATCGAAAAGGAAGAAAAATGGCGAAGGCAACCACCTACTGCAGCACAATCTACAAATCTACAATCCCACAACCCTACACTCTTCTGGTTTGCTCATTTCAGTTTGCATTGTCTTTATGTGTGTAGCATTTAACAAACTCTAATTCATTGCGCAGATTATTTTTTCTGTCATTTCAATTGTGTGTGCATGGCATCAACACGATAGAAACGAGCTGCAATTGGTTAACAGTGTGTTGGTGTGATGAGTTAGCTAAAACGATATAGCTATATACTATAAGAGACAGAGAAGTGTGCTTTGCGATTTTAGCGTATGTGCACTGTTTTGTTCCCTTTCTGATTAAAACTACTGACGAAACAACAGAACATTTCAAACTGTTTATATTCAAATTCAGTGCTGCCCATTTTTCACAAATACTTGCAGCTTAAGTATAATTTTTTAAAAAGGAAACCACACAAATGGAATTGAAATTATTTGCGCGAAATTAAATGAAATTAATTATAATTTAAAATTGTTTTTTTAAAATTGTTTGTTAAAGGAACGAATTAGGTATTAAAAGTGCTACTTTATGTCTTCTATCAAATATTTCCAATATTTTATTGAAGTGGTATTTAGAAGTAAACCGTTAACTAGGTAGATGTTAAAGCAACAAAACGTCTAAACATTCATTTTCAATTCTTTCTCGTTTAAGTTGTTAAATGAAACAGATTTCGCTTTTTTTCGTCTTACAAGAAAGCAAAAAAATGACAAGAAGTAAAATAAGTTTAATAATTACTGCAACGTTTTAATTATTTAATTTGTTAACTCGTTCTTCTATTTATATTTCTTAAAATATTATTTCTTCAAATACTTAAAATTCAGGTTCAATTTAAATGTACAATAAATACAATTGACAAACGTTTTACAGAATACTGAAAAAATTATCAGCCCTGATGCCTTTGTAATGTGGCCATTCATCATTGGGTTTAGTTTTTTGGTTCCAAAATTAAACATATAAAACTTTTTAATATTTTAAGGTGCTATGGAGCATTTATGGTTTCTTAACCAAGTCCATAAATCCACATTCTTCAAGGAATAATGATTTCATTTGAAAAAGCAACAATAAAGTGGATTAAAATGTCCAGCTGTTTAACAAAGAGGTTATTTATTAGTGAATTACATATGTAATTTTTTACAAAAAATATTGAGGTAAACAGATTGTATTGATTAAATATATCATTACTTGATTATTATATTCGCCTGCTTTCAGATTTGATTAAATACTTTCTCTGCCATTTTATTTCCTTCAATTTGGAATTTCTTCAAATATTTGTTATATTTTTATGTACCCAAAATGTGCATAATGCATGTTATATATAATACAATAAATACAATTTAGATTATATTAAGTATTGTTAACATATATCGGATCTGCATGTATCGTGGCTGCGGAAGATGTTAGCAAGGTTACAATAAAAAAAGAATAGAATCAAGCTAAAAATCAATTAAAATTTCATGTTATTTGAATAGTCTCTCAAAAAAAAAAAATAATAAATAAATTTTATATAAACGAGAAATAAACAGTAAAAATAATAAAAACATTACATCAAGAAATGAAATAAACAGAAGCTTTCACGAGTTGTTATTTCGCGAATAAAAATAAGATAAGATAAAATCTGTATAGGCAATTGCACCAACATTTATATAATTAGGAATCTTATATCTCTATATGCAAATTAATTCAACTAGATTTTTATATACATATGTTGTGTATATATGTATGACATTAAAAAATATTCATTTGTTGTTGGTCCTTTCGCTTGTGAACCATGCCATAAATACATTCAATGAGTTGTGAAGATAGATTCTGCTGCAATAATCAAATTATTAACAATGCATTATCCAATTCGTGTTTTATAGATTTATATTGAAATTAATTTTAAAGCAATGTTTCGTGTATTCTAAATACAAAATAGGTTAATTTTTGGCATTACAGCGCATTTCAAACTGTTGCACAAGGTGCTTTTCGGCTGTCATTCCTTTAAATTCAATATCCTACATGGGATGGGCGGGTTGATAACTGTAAATATAAAAAATTATATTTTAAATATTTAAATTGAATAGAAATATCGAAAATAGTAATCAATCTTATAAAACATAATTTTAATCTTGAAACCTGACTTTGGGGAGTCCTGACTCAATCCGCAAGACTGTTTGGCAATGCTCGATATAATCGAATGCGAACATTAAAATATCAGCAATGGAAATATGTATAAAAATTTAATCACTACTTCGTTTTTGCACCCAAATGATAAATAAATAATATGTCATTCGTTCGAGTTTGCTGCCTAGCCTTCTTCCCTATTGGATCGTCCAACAAAATAACAAAATCAGACCTAACTAATAAAATTAAACTTGTTAAAAGGAGACAATACTATACAACAACTGCGACAGCAATTCCTTTGGGCGACTTTGAGGAATTTTTTCCCGCAATATTAGCTACGCCAGCGATTCGTGGTGTTGCAACTTACACTAGCACCGCTCACGTCCAAGTCAAACTTCTACCTATGCTTTTCCACCACCGCCCAAGACACAACAACAATAGCCACTCAACATCAACATCATTATTGTTGCTATCACATCAGCATAATAAATCATCAAACACCCACCATCAACCTTACAGAGCAAATTGGTGTTTATGGGAAATTCATGCTGCTGACTGCGGCAGGATGCTTTGCGCTACAACGTCAGCACGACTGCGAGCAGCATGCACATGATCCTTAATTTAGTTATAATTTTGTTTGCTGCCTGAAATCGTATATCATTTTAAGTTTGATCGGCCGCGAATTCGTATCGAGATAAACAAGCAACTGGCACCATACAACGACCATAAACTTGTCAGTGTTTCAGTGAATCTAAGTAAACTATTTTGGAGCCTTGAGTTCACTATCGACGCTCTTCCAAAGCGTTCCACTCGGGTCAATAGTGCATTATTCTCGTTTTTTTGGTGCGGTTATTATTTTTACCCCTTTCGTAAATATTTCTCATCAATCCGGACGCAATTCTGCTGTAGTCTACACGCACACACACACACACACACGAGCTGCACGCCCCGTCCGTACACCTTTTCGTTTGGGATACAGGAGTGAAAAGTTAGTACTGCGATACTTTCGAAGGACAACTCGCTTATATTTAGTTAGGTCGGCGGTTAGCAACGCGGCGGCAGCAGATTGCGATAGAGTTAAACGTACACGAAATATCATTATTGTTATTACCCCCAAGAAGTGAGGAAATCGAATTTTCATTATTATTTGTAAACATTTGAAATTGGTGTCTGTTACGTGCATTAAACGGATTAACGGTACTATGGCGCCGCACTGCTACTACGATTTTTGCTCGTTTTTTTACTCACCAACGGTTTATATAATTCCTGCTAAAGTTTATGCGCCAGTGTCTCTAATCTTAATTGCTCAATTTAATTCATAAATATTTTAGCGCGACTTTTCGATTTTTGGCAGTACACATATAATCGAATAGAAAAAATACATATTACTGAAGAAATCATAACAATCGCATAACAATTTTAATTAAAAAAATAAATAATAAATAAAAAATTATTACTTAAAATGATATAATTAGTGCAATAATTTATCTACCGGCAGTTCGAATCACAATTCAGTAATCGGCATTCGCGCACCTTATAGCAAATAGAGGAAAAGTGGTGCTGTATATAGCTAAAAAAACATTTTTCAAACTTCCGGTCTTATTCTAATAGATACCTAGTGTTAAGAAGTGATTAATTTCTCTCCTACATTTCTTAGTGGTTAATACAATTGATTTTTTCAAAACGTATATCGATTCGCGTTTTTACGCCGGCCACAAATTGGATTTCAAACAACACAGTTGTGCCGGCGGCCCTGGTTCCGGTGGTGGTGGAGTCGTCGGCAATAGCAGCAGCCATCCTCTTCAAAATCATATTCATACCCACTCACATCATACATTATCGCATCCTGTACTTCATCCACATCACAACAACTCTGTCAACGCTTCACATCCTTCTGGTCACGGAAGTACACCAACTAACACTGCAGGTCTTCAGCAAGTAGGCCCAATATCCCAGCAACCAACAGTAACACCGCAACAACAATTACATACTCCCACTTCAGTCGGATTAACTGCAAGTAACGGCAGTGCTTCAGGTGGCAGTGTAGCTGCTTCAAGTTCAGTTTCTTCCATTGTTATAGGAAACGGACCAGTATCGGCTGGTCATAATAATTCTCAAAATATTGCTACCGCAGCTGCAGTTGCTAGTGCTACAACTACAACACTCCCACACGTCGCTCCACCAAATTTGGGGCTAAGCCCACAATCTAGTGCAGATTCTCAGCAGTTTAACATTTTTCCAGCTATTTTTAGTCGTCAACTTAACTTCTCCACCGGCGCTTGTGGCCAAAGTAAGCTAACTATGGATGAGCTGCGTCCAAACTTAGTTGGCGGGCTTTTAGGCTTACAACAAGGTCTTTTGGAAGATCACGCAAATATGCAGCATGGAGGCGTTGGGCAAGAGACCAAATTTATGTCATTTCAGGATAATAGGTTAATGGGTATAACTTCTTCGCATGAAAATAGATTGCTAGGTTTAGCAACCTCGGCTGTGCAGGACTCGCGTTCAATTGATAAGAATTCACTTAATCATCAACGAAAGTGCAGTAGCACACCAGAGGATTTCAGTTCACTATATTCTGGTCTACCCACACCTGGAATGGATTCTTCCTCCCATCATCATACACCCGCGCATACACCACCAACACGATTGTCGGATCACACGATATCCGGTAATTATCTACTTACGTGTACGTTCCTCCATATATGCATACTTACTTTTTTGTTGAATTAAATTTATTGTATTTACATACATCCATTTGCGCACATTACACAAAAGGTTAACCCGCTTGCAGAAGGGTAGAATGTAATATTTGCTTCTCATCCATTGTTGTTTTCTTTGCCTTTCGAAATGACCAACTGCTTTGGATATGTTCTATTTTACAGTATGTCCTTTAAATCGAAAATTTGTTTCATTGTTTATAGGAGCTGTCACCCTTCAAATCAGTTGGTGATTTGTGCTCCTATTATCCAAGACACAATAGTGAGCTCACGCTTTGAAGATTAACTGAAGGTGTTAACTTATTTCACATTTAGGGCTAAAATTTTGTTGGAAATGCTAAATGGAGAAATTGTTTACTTTGTTGTCCCTTCTCTAACCTTAATTGGTTATTTTTGAAAATGTTTTCAGAAAATCCTAAAATATATGAGTGGAAACTTCAGTGTTCTTCACACAAATAATTGTGCTGCAATTCATTCATTATTTACTTAAGTATTTTATTTTGATTATTTATTTTATTTCGCATTTGATTTTTGACTTCAGTCAGCGCTAATTTAGCCAGTTAACCTTATTCGCCTATTTGGCTACTTGAATTCGTTTGAATCTACAAATTTTTGTGTAAATTTAGATTAGCTCCAAAAGTAAGAAATCAGTTTGCCTATAAACAAACGGACGGGGGGAGGGTGAGGCAGTAAGACAAACTGATAATATGTGTATATAGAAATATAATAGAATATAGAAATATTTCTACTCGCAATTCCTAAACTCCTACGTCTCACAAATTCTTTTTGATTAGGAACCATCATTCACCCTGGTTTTTTAAAAAATGTTTATAAAATATTATCTGCGTATGACAAATGTACCACTAAAAAAAACTTGATAAGATTTATGCCTGGAGGACTTTTAATAAATATGCATGTTTTCTTCAATTTATTTAATTTTTAATTTATAAAGAACTGTTGATTTCTGCTATATAGTTTTATTGTTTTATTGTATATTTTTGCAGTACTTTACACTTACGAAAAATGTCCTCCCACATAGACAAAAATATATACCAATGATTTGTATTGGAATTGTAGTGATAACCATTAGTCTGAAGTCGAAGAATATTTGGAAGATTTGCGGATATAATCAACGATATTTAGCTCTTTTGATCTTCTTATGGTTCTGTAATATTGGATTCTTTCACAATCAGAACAAAGTTCACATAAAATTTTTTGATTGGAAGAATAATGCTTCCTTTTATTTCTTAGTTTTTGTCGCTCAATTTTAGATTCTGGATTACTCCTTCACCTCCTCCTTAAAGTGATTTCTATTACATTTGTACTGTTAAGTTGTTAACGTTTATATATTAATGGAATATAGATGCTCTCATTATATTATTCATTATTTGCTTGTAAAACATAAAAAAAAATTTTTTAAGTTAGAAAAGAAATGTTATTTTTAGTTGTAAAAATGATATTATCTTTCAGTACAATATCCACCAATTTTACCCACTTATTCCAATTAAAAGATCTTATCATTTTCATGTGGAATATTGTTTGAGGTCAGAGGATAGTTAAAAGTCAGAAGGAGCTGAACCTGTTGAGTAGAGTCGCGTTAAGAGCTGCATTGATTTGATTAAAAATATTTTTAATTTTATCTTTGCATTCCAAAAAGCTTATACAAAAGCGTTGTTGACTGATTTCTAGACATAAACTCGCTTTAGAGCTGTTTTGGAGCAAGTTTGGATTCATCGACGCCCAAAATACTTTTTATGCTTTATAATAAGCAAGAGATGTCGTTGACAAATTCGCTTTTGAATGAGTGTTTGTTTTATCGTCAACAGTTGTGCTAATCATTGTACCCAAATTTATTGAAACCGTCGCCAAATTTAGATTTGTGAGGCCCCTTTCATTGCCCAGACCTAGAATTAAATATATGCATTAATACGTGTATGGCATGCATAGTATATTTAAGCGTTCCCAATCAAATTACGATAAATGAAATATAAATTTCATATAAATTTCCAACAGGAGACTCGCGACATTCCGAATATCTAATTTCTGACTTAACTATTCTTTATAATAATAAATATTGAAATATGATATAGCTTTTTACGAGAATTGAATAGTATCGCTTTTTTGGTTTTTGTTTTTTTGTCGAATCATATATTACTGTGTATAAGTTACTGTGTGACTTCTGTGTATAAGTTTACATAAAATCTTCCTCTGAATCTACTTTGGTCAATTTACGATATTTCGAAACTATTATAGCCTGATCATTGAATTAGACTGTGGTTACATTGCATGCGAAATTTGTCTTGCTTGTTCTTACGAACAAATCATATGTACCATATGTCATCCTATTTGAGTGATTACGGTTGCTAAGAATTATTCGCGCGACGCCTTGTCTTTCTCATGCGAATATTTGATTAAACAAAATATTTTGTTCAAAATTCATATGTTCGTGCATAATCGAAGGTGTAAATGGTCATATTGAGAGGTGTGTGTCAAAATAAATTTGTAAATATACACTAGTTTTAGGAAATGGATTGCGATTTGCTTTGTTTATTTTGTTTGAGGAATAGACAAACTCTCCATTTTTATACCTTTAAGAATAAAAATCATGCTCCTAAATTCATCTTTTGTTATTTTAAATTAGTAAATGACTTAACGAATTTTTCGCTAAATATAATTCATCTTCACTATCCATTTAGTCCTCAAAACAAACAAAACAGAACCGTCAATTCACAAGCAATATAACCGCAACATGCGATGTGTTCGCATGAGAAAACATATGTACGAACACGCAAGACAAAATTCGCATGCAATGTAACGCAGCCTTAAAAAATGTTTCTTTACTTACTAATCGATACTTTATTATTTTTTTATTGAAGCATGCCAGAAAACTAAAACTATATTCAATTTGACGGTGAAAATGTCACTTCGTTTAGTTATAAAGAATATAACAGAAATAATATCCTATTTTACAATAAGCAGTTTTTTAAGAACCATTTTTTTTATTCTGTTTTTAAGTACCAAGTAAATTTGTAAATATTGTTCCTGCATTAAACCTGTTGTTTACAGTTGAATAATTAAAAAAATTATAATTTATAGTATATATATAATATTTTTATATATTATAGTTTATATGCGAATTCCGATTTTTATGAAATGAGTATATATCATTTCATAAAAATCGGAATTCGTAGAATCTTTATAGCATGAGTCGCGAAGTGATTGCGAAGGGACAGCCAAACGATTCGACTGTATTAATGTATTCGTACATCCTTTATGGATAGTCTTTTATTTGGCAATATTTCTTGTTAACTCCCCTCGACTTTTACTTCTCCTTATAATGATAAATGGTTCTGGAACCCGAACATGCTTTCATATATGTTATGTTTAAGAAAAAATAAACAAGTGTTTTTCATGTAATAAAATTTAAAATTTGCACTTTAACTTGATTTATCCTTATAACTCATACTCGTAACTGTAGTATCGGAATTCTGTTTTATAATTGCTGAAGCGCTTTTCCATGATGCATGGAAAATGCTTCAAAGCATCCACATTAAATATTCCCTAAATGTTTAAATGAGTTTATCAGATAAAGGTGTTGGTAAAATAATTTCTTGGTTTGAAATGAAAAAATAACATAACAATAAGTTTATTTGCCTTTTCCTTACGCCTGAAGTATATGTATGTAGTATTTAGATAGATAGTATCGAGATAAGTACACATCACTGAATCTATTTATCCTGTAATGCATTTTTGGTAAACTAATTTTTGCTAATTTTTAATTTTAAATTAAGATATTCCACTGGATAATTGGCGAATTATTCCTCATTCACCCAGTTATAATTGGGTCAAAAGATTTGTATCTCATGGATTTGCCAGCGGTTTTCGTGTGAATTTTTCCAATTTAATCTATTGACGACGTTGATGCAGATTACTCATTTGCAACGTCATTTCAAAGTTGTTTGAAGTTTGATGGAAAAAAAATTTTATTGAATTTCTATTTTTTTGAATTAAGTAAAGTTGTTTTATTCATCGCAAAAGCCTGGCATGAAGGGGTTTGTCAATAAAATTGAAAATAAATTATTGAATACAGGTATTTTGCGACATTGGAAAGTAATGCCATTAATTGACAATACAAACCGATGTTCCATAAGGTGGCGTGTATGGGTCCCAGCTGTTTTTTATTGTTTAATTAAGTTAAGGTTGGTTTTGTGTGTTAACATAAGACTCCACAGTTCGAATTTCCAAGAACTCGATTCCTTACACTTGTTACACTATAATCAGAAGATTATATATGGATAGTCAAACCTATAAATCTTTTCAAATATCAGTGGTGATAAATATTGAGCGCTATCCGAAAGAGCTGTATGACCAGCTAAAAATTCAGTTTTTTCGCTGTTGTAGTTTTTTTAAATCAATCGTTATGCCAGTTTATCTAACAATATGGGTATTCCGACTTGCTCTGTAATTTGGTTTCATTTAATTTAGTTTTGTAAAATATTTATTTTTCTTGCCATTTTCTTGTATTTATGTTAGATAAGCCAACTAGAAAAGAAATCAAGTGTTGTGGCGGTTCAATTTCACAACTTAACCGAGAAGTTCATCATATTTTCACATTACCGAATACTGCGTTACCGAGATACGTCTGAATACCACTAATATAAATCGATATTCACTCTTTTATTAATTTGACTGCTTTCAATACATATACTGAGTATATATTGAGAATGCAAATTATTTTTAATGGATAACAGTGTAATTATTTACACACGTTTCAGTCCTATTTACAAAGGATATATATTCGTTTCATCGAATATATACAATAATTCTTGATTTAATAAAAAGGAACAAATGTTCCAAAAATTTTTTTGCAATTCACCCACATTATATGATTATTAGTGAATATTAAAGATTTTCAAAACCAAAACATAAAATTTAGGTATTCCAAAAAATACTATAGATCTGTTTTATGATTAAGATGTTTTTGAAATCGAGGTCACATTCTTTGGCGGTTAAAAAAGAATCGCCCCAACTTTGAATTTAGGATAATCTAAATATTCTAAATAGATGTGCAGATATAGTCATCAAATTTTAATTTTGACCCATTTTCGAACTTTTCCAATAATTTATAGGAACCATTGTTCCTACTCCAAAGCAGTGGAGTAGAATAGTTTAATAACTTATGAAGTTTAAGGTGTTCAGATATCTATACATATATTTACTCAAAGTCTTTTGCATTATAAATATTTATATACCCAAATTTTTTTTCGCCAGATACACTTAACATACTATGTTACTGAATTTGGATCCGGAATCTGCAACCTCTCGTTTAGGAAGAAAATACACAAAATACTCTCAAATAAAAATCACTGATTATTACTTATTAACTTGAATTTACCATATATTTTATTCTAAATTATTTAATGTCATAATTTTATTGTTTATGTATTTATTATTATTATGACAATTAAGATTTAATAAGTGTTTAATTGCTTAATGAAAAAAGTGGGACTATCTTATTAGTGTTTGGAATAAATTTTAAGCTTCAACATTCGAAGCTGCTATTTGTAGTCCGAGATAATCTAATTTAGAATATTTTATCGCTTTTAAACAAGGCTCCTCAGATCCAAGGTTTGGCGTACGCGTGCATAAAAGCACATGAATATTGTATTTGGGATGAATTCTAATATGACAAAATTTCACCTCGATTAATGCGAAATTTGCATAAATTATCCTGCCAGTGTTGCAAATTCATGTCGTCACTTGAACCTTTCTTATGAATGTCAAAAGTACACAAGGTAGCTAACTCCGATGACATCAACAAGGTGAGCCATTCACTTGTGGATGACAACACCGCCACCGAAACGACGCAATTTAGTCCATTATTCACCTTGTTCGTCTCTTACTTTTCACTTTACTACTGTAATCTAATGTTGATTTTTTGTTTGGCTTGTGGCCGCAGTGTGGTTATCCTAATTATTCATAATTTTAGGGTCAACAGAGTTAAGAATTGTTAAACGCTTTCTGCATAACAATTTGCAGGTAAACGTTAAGCGCAAAACTTGATTCGAATTTAAAATATAATTGTTTGAGTTTGTTTTTTATTGATTTTTTAAAATTTCATCCTTTTTATCATTGTGCCATTTCTTGGTTTTGTTTAATTCACAGCGGAAGGGGCATTTAAGAAACTCAAACCCGAACCAAACAGTGGTCTGTCAACAGTTTCCTCCGGTATTACTTCACCCGGAAGCGGTTTGTCTTCATTAAGCCAACATGCTGGCCATACTCCAACCACAGCATCCTGTCCGACGCCGGCGAGGCGAAGACATCGAACGACATTTACCCAGGTAAGTTGTAAAAATTATTTAAAGATTTTAAAAACTTGATTAAACTGTTTTGATGCTAGTGCGGGGATTCCAATTCTTTAAAATAATTTACCTTGAAGTTTTATATATTTAAATCCTAAGATAAATTTTAAGCGTTTTATAAACATATTTATGAGGTCCTTTATGAAATTTATTATTGCACATGTAGACGATTTGTGAGACTTCCTAATAAAAATAGATGATGAATAAGTTTTAGAATAGCGTTTTACAATAACTATTTACCTTGAAGGATTACTAAATAACTAAATTATATGCTGTGAAAGATTTATGAATTTTTTAAAAACTATAAGATTCGTACCCTAAAACTTTCTGGATGCATCATATACATCTTCCTTGACATCAAAGTTTGCTATGGAGCTAATTTCGGATATTTTACCAACTCTTATGCTTAAGGAAAGTTACAAAAACGTGACTTGAATGTGTTGCCTTTAAAATAGAAATAATGTTTTCATTTGAAAACATGCATAGTGCATTAAGTCTAGGTCTTGAAAATGCCTAAATTACCTTCACTATCCGACTAATACTCCTTACTTGGGAAAAACAAAATAATTACAGATGGTCACTATGAAGGATGATTGATTTTCGTAAATTCTAACACTAAGAAATTCAAATTTGCAAAGGTATTTCACAGCATATAGCATAAAGTAATAGTCCTTTATGCAAGTTAAAATATCAACTACCGCAAAACTACTATCGGATAATAGGCAGTTTTATTAGTGGCAGGAATTTGTATGTCAAACACTAAAGTGAACTCTCTGGAAATACAAAAAAAAAAATGGACTAAATAAAGTATAAATATCCGAAATACAAATACTGCCACAAGGCAGATACTGGGACCTTTATATCTTTTATACAGGTATGACAGATATACCTATTTCATCCTCAGAAAAAAACATGATAGCTACATTCGCTAATTACACCGTTCATTGTTGCAGTTCTTCCTAAAAACTACAAAAACAATTAGACAATTCACTGCTATATTCCAATAAATGGGGTGTAGAAATAAAATCTTATTCTTTATTCTGTGGTTGTTAATGAGATCAAAACTAGAAAACAGTTACATTTTATCTCTACGCAATATGCTTAAGTTGTCTAACCAATAAAATTTTTGCACAAAGTTACATCATTTATATCATGTGAACTCACTTATTGTGCGATATTCTCTGGCTCTACCTCCAAACTCTTAAATTTACACTGAAAAT